TGGAAACATTCCAGGTCAGGCTGGACGGGGCTCTGAGCAACCTGATCGAGTTGAAGATGTCCCTGCCCACGGCAGGGGGGTTGGACTAGATGACCTTCAGAGGTCCCTTCCAACCCAAACTGTTCCATGATTCTGTGACCACATACTAAGAAGTGAGGTGGTGGTGGGCCTTGGGTACCAGGATGGTGTCACTTTTAAATCCAAGAGTGACTGAGGATTGGAGGAAAGAGACTCTGCAGCTCCTTCAGGATTATTCTTTCCCTGCCCGCCTTCGGTTTTGACCCAGAGAATGTGTGTTCAGAGGTGAGCGCCGTTCCCTGTTCTTGGGCAGGCACGAAAGACTCCCAAATCTCTCCTGAGCGGGTGCCCTTGCCTGGTTTTACTGGAGCCCTTCTCAGCCCCCTGGCCCAGCTGACCCCACGGGAGCGTTCCTGCCAAGCGGTGCCCGCGATTGCGCCTTCTCCCCGCGCCGCTTGGGGACCGCGGCTTTTCCTGCGGAGCTGGCCGGAGAGGCGGCGGCGGGGGAGAGGGGAGGTCGCCGCTCTCGGCAGCGTGTCGGGCCAAGGCAGGGCTGCCGCAGGGACAGAGGTGTTGGGTCGCAGGAACCTTCCTGCTGCGTCGCCGCGAGCGACCCTTTCGTCTCCGTAAACTCGTTACTACGCTCGCCAGCAGACAGTGCATCAAGAAAAAAGTTCAGAGGCTATTTAATCTTCTATTTATATCTGTTCTCCTTATTCCCACTGCAATAATCATCAATTTTGCAGCCTACGTTAAGTGGATATCTCGTCTAGCTCAAGCAGGAGCCAGGTCCCATTTTTTCTGTGAGGGTTGCAAAACACTCAGAGCAGAATAGAAGATTTAACATCCGAGAAGTGGCCCTTTCGAGCCATTACCGTGGGTTGCCACCGCTGCCGAAACGGGTGCCAGGTGTGCTTTTGAGCATACTTAAGACTTGAAAGGAGGGGTAATTTTGGTCTGAAACGCGCTGTGCTTGGCCCTTGCTCCCAGCCAAATTGTTTCACGGGGCTCTGAGCAAAATACATGTGTTCAGCGCGCTGCTGAAGTAAGCTTACCATCCTCACGGGTTTAAGTACTGATCGGTTTTGGCTTTAAAAGTTGTCTCTTGTTGAAGAAACGACGTTTGCTGAATACTAAAATCAGGGTTTGTTTGGGGTTTTTTTAGTTTTTGTTCTGTTTTCTTTCCGGATTTTCAATAAAATAATATTTTATTCCTTTTTCTGACATTTTCACCTTGGAAAATTAACCCCTGAAGGTGTTTGGGTGGGGTTTTTTTTTTTCGCGGGAGAGCTGAAGAGGCCAGCGAAACGGGGAGGTTAGGAGAATCCCGCATCGCTGCGACAGGGAGGGCCATGAACTCCACGAGCAGAAAGGAGGCATTCCCGGAGGACAGAGGTTTCTGCTGCGGCACTGCCCGGACCTGGCAGGACCTTGGCTCGCCGGCCTTTTTGTTGTGTTAATGTCACTTTTAAAACCGGGCGGTTTTTTCCCTCGCCCCGCCGCCTTCCACCCTTCACGTGGGACCGCGAATCGTTTTCCGAACGGGCTGAGGTCTGGTGCGAAAGGACCCCCCGGAGGCACGCGCGGAGTTGCCGCTCCTTTGTTTCCTCTCCCCGCTTCGCTGTTTGCCCTCTCCCCCTCCTTAGTATGCCAGTCTCGTCCCCCTCCTTAATCGCTCGGGGCTCCAGGGGAGCCGTTAAAGCCCCTGTTAAATCGGCCTTGCGCGATGGCTATAAACGTCTACCAGGCGGGGCCCGAAAGCCACTTGTTCGCCCCCAGACCATCGCAATGATCAATAGCTCGCACGTGCTTGTGAGAAACCTCGTCTCCGTCCTCGCCGAGGGCTGGATGATTCTTACGGGTCCCTTCCACCCTGAGAATGTTCTGTGACCCAGCCTGGGTAGCGAGCAGCGCGACGTTTTATTTCCTCCTGAACCGCCCTGGGTTTCGGTCGGCGTTTTTCCCTCCTGTGTTTGCCTCTCCCAAGGAAGACTCGGTGGGGTCCCAAAAAGCGGGGGGGGGGGGGGGGGGGGTCAGTTCTGACCTCGAGGGTTCGGGGTGGTAAAAGCAGCGCAGGCTCTGCGGGGCTGGCGGGGAGCGGGTTGTCGGTCGCTGTGGCTCTGCAGAAGCTCCACAACCTCTTTCAGCAACAACGAAAAGACGAGTTTTGCCGTTACCGTCTCATTTCACGTATAATCGCCGGGCTCTTCTGCTTCTTGTTTCTTGCAGCAACAAGACAAGACATCATCAAACCTCCACGAAGCCGCTTCGGACTGCGTGTGCTCAGCCCTCTACGCCATCGAGAACGTGGAGACGAACCTTCCCCTGGCCTTGCAGCTTTTCCAGGGCGTCCTCACTCTTGAGAGTGCCTATCACATGGCTGTAGCACGCGAGGACCTAGACAAGTAAGTGAACTCGCAGCCGTGGCTGTGCCCGGAAAGGAAGGAGAGGCACAGCGGTTAATCGTCGCGGGGTCCGTCGGCGGTGATTTTTGGAATCCGTGCCGCTTGCCTGCGGCACTCTGAAGCCTCTTAGGCAAATAAGTATTTGTCGAACGAAGGCAAGTGAGCAGATGACTTCCTCGCCCTCGGTGCGCCGATCTGCGCTCCAGGCGCGTGCGCTCAGCTCGGGCTTTGGCAGAGAGCGAGCCTGCCGGCAGACTCGGCTTGCTGGGGTGCTCGGTCTTCCTCGCGGTGGGCAAAGCGCAAGGGAAGCATCCCGAGGTGCAGCTGGTGCAGTACCAGCCTTAAAATAGAGTTTAGAAGCCACCTGTTGCTCCTACTGCCTCCTCCCTACAAATGTCCGTACCTGGCTCGGCTCTTCCCCGTGGAAAGAGGACTGGATGTGCCGGCTGGGTCATCGGCCCCTCGTTCTTGACTTAAAGAAACCGTAGCCTTCATACCTTGATCATGGAGTCATAGAATCACAGAGTAGTTTGGGTTGGAAGGGACCTCTAAAGGCCACCTAGTCCAGCCCCCCTGCCGTGGGCAGGGACATCTTCAACTTGAGCAGGTTGCTCAGAGCCCCGTCCAACCTGACCTGGAATGTTTCCAGGGATGGGGCATCCACCACCTCTCTGGGCAACCTGGGCCAGGGCTTCACCACCCTCAGCGTAAAACGTTTCTTCCTTATCTCTAGTCTGAATCCACCCCCCTTTAGTTTAAAGCCGTTCCCCCTTGTCCCGTCGCTACAGGCCCTGCTAAAGAGTCTGTCCCCATCTTTCTTACAAGCCCCCTTTAAGTACTGACAGGCTGCAAGAAGGGCTCCCCGGAGCCTTCTCTTCTCTAGGCTGAACAACCCCAACTCTCTCAGCCTTTCTCCATAGCAGAGCTGTTCCAGCCCCCTGATCATTTTCGTGGCCTCCTCTGGACCCGCTCCAACAGGTCCGTGTCTTTCTGATGCTGAGGGCTCCAGAGCTGGACGCAGGGCTCCAGGGGGGGTCTCACCAGAGCAGAGCAGAGGGGCAGAATCCCCTCCCTCGACCTGCTGGCCACACTGCTTTGGATGCAGCCCAGGATACGATTGGCCTTCTGGGCTGCGAGCGCACATGGCCGGCTCATGCCCAGCTTTTCACCCACCAGTACCCCCAAGTCCTTCTCGGCAGGGCTGCTCTCCATCCCTTCACCCCCCCGCCTGTGTTGATACCGGGGGTTGCCCCGACCCAGGTGCAGGACCTTGCACTTGGCCTTGTTAAACCCCATGAGGTTCACACGGGCCCACTTCTCCAGCCTGTCCAGGTCCCTCTGGATGGCATCCCGTCCCTCCGGCGTGTCGACCGCACCACTCAGCTTGGTGTCATCTGCAAACGTGCTGAGGGTGCGCTCGATCCCACTGTCTGTGTCATCGATGAAGGTATCAAAGCACCTTAAAACCAGCGCTTCACGCACGTTGGCTGCTACGAAACGTTGCTGTTCTGATTGGAAACCCTCTGATCTCCAGCCTCAGTTGGTTCTAGGCCAGTTCGTGCCTGTTCTCTTCTGCCAGCATTGTCTTAACTTGAATAGCTTCCCAGCTGGTGCTTATTCCCGGATGCATTCGTAGGTAGGAAGCAGCCAGCCTCGAGTTTGCGTAAACCAGCCCAGCTCCTTCAGTCCTGTGAGACGGCTTTCTTTTCCCTGGGTGATCTTCAGTGCTCCCCTTCTGAATTTTAGCTTCCTTGAGTGCTGAGAGGTACACGCTGCTCCAGGAGGGATCTCGCTCCTGTGTGTTGGCATCGTGGCATCCCTGTGTGCCGGCGACGCCTTTGCCTGACATCTGCCTCTCTCGTCACCTCGCGGTGTCGGTGTTCTGGTCATCCTGTGACCGATGAGTCCGCCCACAGGTTGCCAGAAGCGGGCGACTTTTCCCGTTCGAATGCAGATGGTTTTTCATTCTTCTTCCCCACAGATACCGCGTCCCAGCTTCATCGGCGAACGCCAGTAGCGCTCGCTCTTCCTTTTTTATGTGGCTGTCGCTAATGAACGTAGACAAGATCAGTTGTTCCAGATTGATCTGGAACCTCCCGGCACCAAACTGGTATTTCCCCTTCAGCACAGCCTGCTAACCGCCCCGCTAGCCAGCCCTTCATCCCTTCCCTCAGCTGTGCTTTATCCAGTTTAACCAGCTTCTGTGTGACACCGTGATCTCCTGTCCTGCTCCATTTCTCCCGTTTCAAAGCATTGCTGGTAAGAATAAGGCGGGTCCAACCTCTGGTGAACCCCTCTTGCGTTTAGCCCCTTTCCCCTCCAGCTTCCATGTCTTTGGAAAACCGCGTAGGAACTTGCTCGTGCTCCTGAGGGCAGGTCAATCGGCCTGTATTTGCCAGACCCCCCCTGTCCCCGTTGCCGAATACGAGCACGTTTTGTGGCCGCGCGAGGTGTTGGCCGTCGACGGAAACGGCGAGAGCCGGCCGTGAAGCTGTGGGGCGGACGTCCGCTGGCCGGTGTTGGACTCCCGGGATGGCAGTTAGCCAGTCCCCCCCGCTCCCTCCACCTGGAGGCAAGCAGGTCCTCGTGTCCAAATAGCCTCCGCGCTCCTCCTTGCCTTCGCCCCTCCTATTCAGCCCCACGGTGTTGAAAACTGACGCGCGCTCGCAGAGTTTTAGCTGTGCCGCGGATCCTGCACCGTGCCGCTGCCTTCAGCGCGCAGCCGTCCCACCGGCTGTTGATTACAGCTGCGAAATCCTGTGCTGGTCTTTGCGACTGTCCGCGGCAGGGCCTGGCGCCGGTTTGCCTTCTGGCGGTTCTCGCTCGATCCCTGCTCAGCTCGCCTTCCAGAATCCAGCCGCCTGCTTCTCGGTCCTCCGCCCTGACAGCCCTTCGGCTGCTTGGAGGCGCTTGGCTCGCTGCTGAGGCTTTTCAGGCGACTTGGGCTCAAGAACTCAACGAGCCTCCCCCTCCCCTGGTTTCAGCTTGGGGTGCAGAGCCCAGGTAACGTACGTGCCTTTGGCTGGAGGAAATCCCAAGCCTCTGCCGCCTTAAGTGAGGTCGCCGCAAGCGAAACGAGTAGTTACTCCTCAAAGCTAGCCCTTTGGAAATGGAAAATTAGGGTAGCATCTGTTCCTATTTATCCTTCCGTTTAATGGAGTCAGTCTTCAGCTGTCAGGCACGTGAAAGGTTGTTGTAATATCCTCTCTGCTTGGTAGGATTGACTCTGCAACAGCACCTCTTCGGCCTGTGGCTTTCTGAAGGAAAATCAGAAAGCTTTTGCCTTCAGGAACCGCTGGGGCAGGGTGTAATTAGTAGCACGTGCTCTCCAGTCTCTGTCGGAGAAGGTAGGCTCTCCTAAACCCTTCCAGGTATTGCATAAAGGCCCCGCTGACAGGGCTGGCGACACCTCGCCGTGTTTGATCCGCTCCTGGGGATACGCTGCGGAGCCGTCGGGTTGCGCAAAGGGTTAAGCCTTTGGGGATTTAAAAAAAGAAAAGAAAAGAAAAGATCGCGTGGGGGACCCGCCTCTGTCCTTAGGACAGGCTTTAGGGTGCGTTTGCAGGACACCTCTAGATGCACGTTGCTTCAGGATTTCCTAAACCTCTCCGGAACGGGAATACTAAAATCAAAGCCCGGGACTAACGGCTTATCTTGTACCTTCTTCCCCCAGATCCCCGATTTTTGAGGTTGTTTTATTGGTGAGGAGCAGTCCTCGGTTTGGTGCCGTGCTTGCTCCGTCACACCGTGCTGCGGCTCCGGGACATCCCCTCTCCTCTCTGGTTCTGCGGTCTTAAAGCAGAGTAAAGCTGGTGCTTCAGCTCGGCCGCTAAATGCTTTTTGCCTTAAGAGCAGCTGTGTTTTTACGCAGCGCTGTCCCCCCCCCGGCCCCGGACAGGCAACGGGACATCCTGGGTTTATTTTTAAAGTAGATTTGTACATCTGCCTCCCGGAACGCGGCGCCTTCCGGGTGCTGAATTAGACTCAAGCTGTTTTTGTAGCGGGCGGCCTGTGCCCGCTCGCCCGATGCTGTGGCTTCGGAGAAGTTCTCTCAGATGCTGTGGGCGGTATGAAAATTTCGCAAGATTTGCTTATTGGAACCCAGTGTTTTCACCTACCTCTGAACAAAGCCAAGTTCCCCTATTTAAGTGTTTCCCAACTGCTGACGGAAAACTAAAGCAGAAGTCGGTATTTCTTGGTCTGAGGCGAGGCTCCGGGGCACGTTACCTGCATGGACCAAATCTCTCCTGCGCGGGGATACCTGGTCCCCTGCGGAAGATCTTTCTGACTTGTGCCCTCTGTGTGTTTTGGTTTGTTTTTTTTCTTCACCAGGGTGCTCAATTATTGCCGTGTTTTCACCGAGCTGTGCGAGACGTTCCTGGATAAAATAGTTTGTACGCCAGGCCAAGGGCTAGGTGACCTGCGGACGCTGGAGCTGCTGCTGATATGCGCGGGTCACCCGCAGTACGAGGTGAGTGAGGTTTACCCGTGTTCCTCTCCTCACCCCCATCGCCGCGCCTCGCTCATCCAGAGTAGAGTCAGCGGAAAAAAACCTTTCTCTTCTGTCGCCACGTGGCTGGGAGGCTTCAGTTCCCGTGAGCCGCCGGCCTTGAAACGCCCGCTCTGCGTTCCTGGTGCAGAAATCTGGCTTAGCTTCCCTTTCCCAGCGCCCTGGACGTCTGGGGCTGCCAGCGCAGCTCTCAAAGCCTCCCTCACTTTCTTTCCACGCGTTCAGCTGGAGTTAAGCTTTGCGGGGATTGCGGTGTGGCCCGTGGTAACTTTGTCCCCCGAGTTAAGTTAAATGCTGTTCAGCATCGAAGCTCCCCGACCGTCCTCCCCTAAATACAGAACGTTGTAGTTAAGATGCGGGCTCTCCTTTTAGCCCCGCTTTTTACTCTTCCAAAACTGTTAATTAAATCCCAGTAGCTGAATCGTGCCCGTGTTCAGCGGGTGGAGGTCCCTTTGCAGAGGGGTTGCCCTGCTAAATCTGACGCGGGGAGCGGGGAGGTGCCGGCTGGGGTGTGCTCCCAACCCCCCCCCCCCCCCCAAGGTCCCACCAGGGGAGGGATGCAGCCGCTGAAGTGGTGGACGGGAGGTGGGTATGGGACGAGCTAGTGCCCTCTCCAGGGCTGGGTTTTCCAGAAGCTTTCAGAGCTTGAAAGTACATCAGACCCGAGAACCGGCAGGCGAGCTGGCTAAGAAACGAGGGCTGCCGCGATGCAACCCTTCGGGGCTTGTTTGCCCCACGGATTCCCGTGGGAATCGTGGAGTAGCTGTGCCTCGTCGGGTCTCTGCGGTGCTCGCCTGGGACTCGGTGCCTCTTTTAGTCCCCTTTCCAGGTCTGTTAAGCTCAATCTCCCTTGGGCATGACCTTGTCCTGTGCCGGCGATGCTCAGGAGGAATTGAAGCTCTGCAGCTGCTCCTGAAAAAACCTGCGCTGTTTGGGGTTTTTTTAATTTTTTTTTTTCCCCCCCCTGCGATAACCGCACTTATAAAGAGGCTGTAGGCTTTGGAACAACGTCCCCTTCCAGTCTGAGCTGCTCCCTGGGAGATGTTTGCTCCTGTCTGGGGCCGCTGTCCCCCTCGCGCGGGTTAGCCCAAGCCTTGTGCGCACCCCGAGCCGGCCATCGGGACGGTCAGACCACGAAATGCCCGGCCACGGGCGGTGAGGATCCGTTCTAGGTGGGCAAACTCTTCCACCGCTGTGGCTCTCTGGTGACGGCAGCGGACCTCGCAAGCAGCGAAATGCCCCGTAGCTTGTTGGGGCAGGCTGGGCATTAAACATCTCCCCCTGCGTGAGCGAGGCCGGAGCACGTGCACGAATCGCGTTCGGGGTCAGGGAGAGGGAAATCTCATCGCTGGCAGATTTGGCTGACGTGAAACGAGGCGATGTCCGCGCTTGGAAGCAAGAGACGGTTCTTAGGCTTCAGCGCTAATTTTGCAGAGAAGAGGCTTTACTTCTGAGGGCTGGTGACCCGTTTGCAGGTGAACTCAGTGGGTTTAAAATCCCTTATTAAGTGACAAGCAGCAGAGGAGATGGGTGAGGCTGGGGGAACCAGTCCGCATCTCGCCATCGCAGGGCGAAGCAGCGCCGACGGAAATCTGTGGTACCCCACCACGCTGCAGGCACCCCCCGGAGGAGATTCCTCTGTCGGGAGCACCAGCAGAGCGGAGAAGAAAAAAAAAAACCAACCCAAAACATTCAGTTGATAACAAGATGCTGAATTTTTCTTTCTAAACAGGTGGTAGAAATTTCATTTAACTTCTGGTACAGACTGGGGGAGCACCTGTACAAGACAGACGATGCCGTCATCCACAGCATCTTCAAAGCCTACATCCAGCGCCTTCTCCACGCTCTGGCCAGGCACTGCCAGCTTGACTCAGACCACGTAAGGCTGCGTTCGCTTTGTTTCCTCCGGAGGCGGCGGGGCGGCAGGATGCCTCCGTCCGCGCTGCTGCGTGCTGTTGGCTCTCCGTAGCTATAGGGCTCCGCAGGTAATAGCTCTGCGGTTGCAGTAATCGCAGAGAGAAGACGGAGAGTAATTAAAATCGCTGTATTCAACCTCTTTTCATTAAGTCGGTTCGTGTTCTAACAGCTTTCTGGCGCCCGGTTGCTGCGGGATGACCCGCTCCCGCCTCCCCCCAGGTGGTTCCCATTTTGAGAGCTGCGGAGAGATGCGCGGTCCCCTGCTCGGGGGCGTTTCTGTTGGAATCGGGCTCGCGCAGCTTGCGAGCCGCAGTGCTGGCATCTTCCCCCTTGAAGCCTGAGATGCTTTATCCTTCTTCCGTCTCTGCCTGCGCTCCTCATCCCCTTGATTTCCATCCCTTTGTCTGCGTGTCAGAGCAGGAATACGCAGCGTGTGTTCAGGCTGTTAGCGTCGTCTTTGTGCACGGTTCTCCTTCACATCCCCTCCAGGAGCTTGATCTGGGGAGAGGAGGGCAGAAACGGTGGATCTCCGCTCTAAAACGGAATGGCTTGGCTTGTCCTAGCTGTGGGTGAATGGGAAGCCGGATTTCTCCGAGCTGCTCTCACCCTTTTGCCCTCCCTAATCTCTGTTAGGAGGGTGTCCCGGAGGAGACGGACGACTTTGGGGAGTTCCGGATGCGGGTCTCGGACCTGGTGAAAGACCTGATCTTCCTGGTGGGATCGGTGGAGTGTTTTGCTCAGGTGGGTTTGCGGGAGCTTCGTGAGGCACGCTTGCATCCGTCGCTGCCCGGGAGGTAGCCAAGCCCTGGTGGCCTTCGGGGTGGGGAGGAGGTCACACGCGTTATCTCCTCGCGCGCAAGGAAGCAACCGTGTCTTGAAGCAGGTGGTGGGGAC